AGCGTCCTTGTTACTACTAGTAAGGCACCTGTTACTACTAGCGTGGCTGACTATAGTTCGGATGGACCAAGATGGACCAATTAGACTTGGAGCCCCGGACTCGAGCGCCGGGAATCTTTTTTGATGTGCGGAGGACCTATGCGAGTGGAATCAGACCCAAACCAAATGCGACTTGTTGCCTCAAAGACAACACCAGCCAGTCAAAACAAGTATATGAATGTTCTCGGATTGTTCTCGGATATTTGTCACTGCCTGAAGTATTGGCAAGTCAATTGTCATCTTTGACAGCAAATGATGAGCTCGGACATGTCCCAAACAAGCCCAACCTGCGATGGTCACACTGACCACGAGACATATTGCAAAAGTCTGAATAACATAAATAACCCCGCCCAAATAGATAAAAAAGCAGATCCCCACAAAGTAATGTATTGGACACCGTTTCTATCTATTTGGGAATTTGGGGACCACTATAATGACTCCATCTCAGAGCCAAAGAGTTCAGTGAGCGGAGGCGTTCCCTCCAAGTACAACATAGTGAAAATTTGTCACAAGCAGCAACCAAGACAATACAACCAACCTATCACAGCAACCAAGACATCGCATCACTAACCAACACAATAAGACCCGACTGACAACCGCCCCTCCACCTAATCACACCAAGCTCGAACCTGTGAGGCCGTCTTGGAAGAACATACCAATGATCGCCATCCTTGGGAAATGAGCCTGGCCTAACAGAGACTACCTGCTTTTGGTAGAAGCAGCTTCATCCATATTAACTGTATCATTATGCTAACTCACTATCACTTTGTAGATACACTTGCATTGGGCTGTTTGTCTCAAAGACACCCTAGATTTGCTATGGTCCTTTGATCTATGGGTTCCTTTCCTGTCGAGCCTTGCTCTCAGGAAGGACGAGCTGTTTGGCCATAATTAGCACTGTTCATGGTTGGAATGTTGATCTTCATGGATTTCCAGATGTTCTTCCAAGAGATATATTCAGTCTAAGAAGTCAAATCTTTTGGTGCAGCATGGTCAGTGGTGCAGTTCCAGCCAATGCAGCGTATCATCTTCCTAAGAATCCCATACACCCTAAGGAACCTTAATGGCATGAAATGAAGGGGCAACAACGAACAAACATCTTTGCTATTCAAATGCTTCCGATAAACTCAATGCCCTTGGTTTACTCTTGTTCTCATCAAATTGGTTCCAATCTTGCTCCAACTGGTAACTGGTCTGGTCTGGCTGATTTGATTGCATGGCATTGTATGGTCAAATTGGATGGGGTGGCTACACACACATGAACAACTGGAAACATCCTGTCCATTGATGCTTAATGAAAATTGGTTCGGATGAAGGATGAAATCTTCAGGGTCTGCAAAAATGCAACCAAACAAACATCCAACAATTAACAATCAAACAAGTCAAAAGTAGTTCATTTCAGGTGCACTAAGTCCGGCAACGTTGATGTAACACTATTTAAACAACAAATGCGTTTTGTATCATCCAACGATGGCCAAGTGTCATGGCCAAACGTCCGTTGGCGAGTTCAGCACTGAGCTTGCGCTTCTTGGTCTCGGCGTCAGCGGAGCTAATGGCCTTCCATCCATAGTCACCTGCGTGAGACGGGCGCATTTTCAGAGCAAGATCCATTTCTCATTCTCATGGTTCTTCAGAGTCCACTGGCCAATGGTATATTTTGGTTTGTCAAATGGTCACAGATTTGGAGACCTCCAAATTATCATGTTCAGCCAGGAAAGGTGTATTTTGAACATAACTACTAACTACATCTCATGACACTAAAACCTCTTGAATAACTCCTTGTCCACCACCGGTGTAGGAACTTGAGAATAGCGCCAGCGTCGTGCTGCCAACGTTATACCTGCTTCGCAACTCCGGACAATGCCTGGGTGATCAAACTCAGTCTCCTGAGACCCAAACGCTGTTTTGACTTGTCTGTCTAACCGTCTTCATGTAGGTCACGTTGTCAAACAACGAAGAAACACACAAAAACACTCAGCCCACGCAAAACCTCCAACTGGAAGGATAAATCTGGCTGCCTGGCACGGACAAATTCACCCTTCCCGTGCGCGCCACAGGCTGCGCACCGCTTGCTGTTCCGCCTGGGGTGCCGTTGAACTTGTAGACGAAGAGTTCGTAGTAGCCGGCGAAGGCCACGATCTGCGCCCAGCCGTTGCCCGGCACCTGACGTTGCCCGGTGCGTGGTGGCGCGGCGTCGTGGAGCGGCGACGCCGTGGGCGTCGTGTATGATTCTAACGTATAGTGGTCCCCAAACAGATAGTGGCAAGGGTTACAATAGATCTTTTAGCGGGAATTTACTTTTGTATCTAATTGAAATTTAGGGGTCTGTAGTGGGTCAGGATCAATCGCCAGTAGCGGGATAATCTAGTGACCTAGTGGATGAGGATATCACTAGTCAGGTCTTGATCGTCGCTCGTCGACTGTGTGCCAAGAATGAAAGGTATGATTCTGATCTGTGACGGAGCTCCATATTGTTGCTTGTGTGTTGATCCACCGGCGAGGGGAGAATGCTTTGGACACCTGAATGACTCGAACAAGGGAATCCAAACAAATCTCCATGTCACGCTCGCAGAGGTTGCAGCAAAGCACTAGACACTTGTGCACGCACAACTCCCTTTTCGAGGGAAAGCGATGGGCGTGCTAAGTGATTAATAACATCATACAAGTATCAGTATCACTTATAGAATTTGCGCAACCATGAGTCAATGTGGGCCTAGGGTGAACGAGCCTAGGGTGTAATGAGCAACGATGTTCTTATTGTTTGTCCCTATTTGACCCTGAAACATCACACACGGGGGGCGGAACTTATTTATCTGTTATGTGTCCTCTATGTGTCTCCCGTTTGTTCTAGTTTTTTTGAACACCCTTTATTTGTCTTCAATTTGTCTCCTATATGCCCTCATTTGTATGCTGGGCTCGTTTAGGGAGGCTCATCTGCATGCAATTGTAACTGAACATACTCAATGAATAACTCCGGATGAAGGATGCCCTCTCCTCCTTCTGGCCACAAATGACTCGCTCAAAACACCGACACATTTGCGAGTTTTTGTGGCTTGGTCTGGCCAATTGCATCCTGCCTTGGTGATGGCGGCCAAACCGTTGGGCACATCTTCGAACTTCAAGCCCAAGGAGGGCGACAAGTATCCTGGCAAAGCACTGAGAAACAAAACAAAGTGTATGAACATCCTGTCAGAAACTTAAATTGACTTCTGCTGAGGATTAGAAACGTTGTAAAATGGTGTAAGCAACAAGACACACGTCACACACATCTCAAACCTCCCAGTCAGCTTTGCTATTTTGCTGCTAAATAGATCACCAGGCGTGTGCCAAATCGTATTCGCTTTATGGTCCATTGAGAGTCCATTGTGTTGTGTTAGGTTAGAGACCATCGCTATTGTTAGGTTGGAGGCCATCGCTAGTAAGTTGGAGGCCATTGCTAGTGGGTTGGAGGCCATTGCACTTAGGTTCCTTTTGCTATTAGGTTCCATGTCCATTGTGTCTGTAAAATCCACTCCAAAACCGCTGTGCCACTGGCCCCGATTCCTGGCCACTTGAAGTACTCAGGAACGATGTAGCCTTGGTCAACGACATGGTGGAACAAACATTTCATTCAAGGTCTGATGGGTGTGGGAGTGTGTTGCCCTTCATGTTCACCTAGAAGAAATATCTTGTTACCGACCACGAGAATGGAGTGATTATGTAATTGTCCCTGGCAGGGGTGATCACGGCAGCCAATTGGTAAGCTCTTGTTTGATCACTTCTTGCGAGTCCCCGAACACCATTCTCCCCAATCCCAGGGTGGTAAGCACGCCAGATTAGAAGGACTCCCACTTTCCTTGTTTGGGTCTCTGCCGCGCAAAACTTATTTCTGTTGAGATAGCGCCTTACAACCCAGTGGCGGTGAGTGATAGTGAAAAATGTTTATCAGTATAGGACCAATTCAACACCAATTGGTCGATGCGAAAATACCGCATCTAAATAAAGAAGCTACCAGGGGTCCTGGCATCGCTACTAGGAACAAGGACGCTACTAGGGGCTCCTGGCCTTACTACTAGGAACAAAAAGCTACTATACATTGATTTTCCACTTTCCACCGGCCCTTTGTAGTTCCAGGTGCAGCTAAATTGTAATATTCAGCGGAGCCTCTTGATCAAAAGCTGGGTTAAGTGAATCAATCCGCTAATAGAGTTTGTTCAATTGTGCTAAATGTTCGTTAGCCCAGGGACTCTACTTCCTTTTGTTGCAAACCAATTTGGCACCACGAAGTATAGCTAGCAGCTAGCCCTGACGATCGGCTCGAAGAAGCTCCATGTCTCCCAAACGGTTCATATGGTCATCAAATCTTCTATGGAGGTTTGCTGGAGGTGTTTTCGATTTGGTGAACTCCACGAGTTCGTGTCGGAAAGAACTGAGGGAACACCAACAAAAACACCAAGCAGCCCATGGTGGCATACATCGCGACGCGGCCGTGCTTGATCTCAGTCTCGCGGCGGCGCTGGAAGGTCTCAGCGTTGCCTGCAGGTGAGGAAGAACGGTTGATGTCTCTAATTCAAATCAAGGGCAGCATAGGAGCCTGCCACACCACGGAGTTACTGGCCATTTCTTTAAGGCCATGTCTATGTCTGGACAAAAAAAGGTGCAGTTCGGGATCCACATTTGTCGCGTCCACATCATGTGCGACTTCCTGGGCCATACATCACCGTGTGGCTAAGAAGTCTTCCCAGGTCAAAGCAGTCTGGGTCCCATCAGAACCCAGAAACGGTCTACAGGGACCAGCGAGTCTACACGGTGCGAGTCACGTCTCGTCTCTATGCCCTGCTTGGTCAGACACTAAAATCACCAGCCAGTGAATACATGTTAGTGAATATATCTAGTTTTTGAATATAGACATCTTGAATATATATGAATATATTAAATACAGTTTAGCCCGTGTTGCATTTCACTTTGTTTTGAATATCTAGAATAAGAGCCTTTGGCCAAGCACGATCAGATTAAGCCGCCTACATTAAGCTCAGCGCCTGGAACCTCTTTGCAGCAAATTTGCCTAACCAAGCGACTAAGACCTATTGGACCTCTCAGTGGCTTCGTTCCTGGAAAAAAGAAAACACCCACAATGCGCGTTTGCATAGGGGAACATAGTTGGAACATAGCCATGCCACAGCCATCGCCGGCGTAGGTTTTTTTTGGAGTCCCCCCAACGACCTGCTCTCTCTCCCCTCCGCCCGAAGCGCGCCATCGCGAGTGTAGCCCACAGGATCCTCAGTGGTACCCGGAACAATGTTCGGGCCCCTTACTATGGATCAATGGCTCCCCAGAGTATCCAGGATGTTTCAGGGGTGCATATGGGTGGTGGGTCAAGTGTTCTGAAGGTTTTTCAAGGCAAACGTTTTGGCAAACACATATGTGTTGGTGAGAGCGTTTTAGACCATACGTACGAAAAGCAGAATATCACGTGTTCCCAATGATCAGACTGCAAGCAAGTGCTACCCACGCGTCTTGGATCAGTCCCCATTCAATGACCACCAAGTATATGATGGTTCTGTGGCTGATCATTGATCCACCCAAATACATCGCACCAAAACGCCACGCCCCAAGTGCACGTGTTTCTCACACCAGCCGTCTTCCAAGTCGCCCAGAAGCCAACAGGCGGCTGGACGCCAAGCTCATCCTGGTAGAATGGTGCC